AAAAATACCCAGTTGTAGAGTGAAAATACCAAGGGAAAATAACAGTGAAAATAAGTACTTCTGAGGTTACTAATTGTATATCTTTATGCTTAATTCCTGGTTAGAAAAGGAACATTGCTTTTTATAACAACTACTTACATTGCTCATTCGGGATTAATGATTGGTTTGATTATGGTGGTGTAGTTAGGAGCAAAGAATTAATGTTGGTAGGAGTTAGGGGAGTCTTTTCCAATTTTAATATTCTGTAGAGATATAACAGTTTTTGTCTTGATAGCTTTTTTTTTTTTTAATGGGCCAAGAGATTAAGGAGTGGAGTTGAATGCAGCTTTTCTTATTTAGGGTAGTAGGTACTCAGGACTGTGTAATCTGCAGGGTCCAGTGCATAATGAATATGTAGTACCCTTTGTTCAAAAATTATTAAAAATTTGAAGACTTTGGTAGCATTAAACTGAGTCTGGGGCCCTCCTTGTGCTATTGCACAGATCACACACTCATGAAGCTCATTTTGTAGGCACTTTGTACAAAAAGAGAAGTATAAGCTAAGGAAATAATGAGTTTGGCCTCTCAACAAATGGGTCTCTGTACCCTCTCCCCAACCCTATTTCATATAAGCTAACCTGTTTTTTCTTTAAAAAAAAAAAAAAAGAAAAGAAAAGAAGCAGCCACCCTGATTCTTTTTCAGTTGGGGCTGAGGGAAAGAAAATGCTATTTGCACTGTCTTTTATATGTTTGGGGCTTATGAACCTTTGAAGGATTAGTGACAGCAATTAGAATTGAGTTTATATATCTGTCTTATACTTTTATATCCCTGGAGACATGTGCATCTTCTCCCCACGTCACCACTGCCACTAGTGCCTCCATCACCAACTTTAATGGTAGTGGAATGATGGTTTACCTGTTTGTATCATTTTTATCCCTATTGTCTTCCTGAATAAGCTCATAGCTGCTCTTATTGCCTAACCAACTTTTATAGGCCAACTAGATGGAGAAGAAATTTTCTTCCTTCTAGTAGGGCTATACCATGCCCCTTATTTTGGGTATATATAACCTGGCTGTTATGTTAGGTTTCACTTTGCCCCAAAGATGCTAATAACCAATTAGAAAAGAAACAGATGAGGGAGAGCTTTTAAATAATTGAGGGTGATTGTAAATAACATTTTGGCGGCGAATGTTAATTTAGTTATGTTGTGCTTTATCATAGAAGCTTTAAGGTGTTTTATGAAATAAACCCACATTCTCTGAAGTCATTTGTATAGTGAAGGAAAAAGAAAATGAAATTCATTGAAGCAATTATTGTGTGTAATGGACAGAAAGGTGGAAAAAGCAAAAGATTTCATTTAATAATGTCAAAGCCAAAAGTCCATTGTTTTTCCTCTATATATAAAATTAAATAGTGGCTCCGAAAACAGACTTGAATTTATATATCTCATTATTACTATCTATTATCTATTGATTTGCTTTTCATTGATGTGGTTTAGTGCTTTGAACATGTCGTCGTCGTCATCATCATCATTGTTATTGTGTTGTATTCATAGCATAGCAGTATGGTGTTCTTTTTGAGGACTCATAAGTCTATAGTATTTCTCTTATATTGTATTTCTCTTATATTTGTTTTACTGAACGGTATATTCTAAAATTTTTTGCATATAGCCTTACAGCTAGCTCAAATTGTTCTTTTTACAAGTAAAATATCCTTAGTAGCAATTCAGATCCTTTATAAATCAGGTAACTGCAAAGATTTTTGACAGTCCTCTGGTTGAAATTATCACTTAACCAATGTCTGCCTCCCTGAATAGGAATCTTAAGAAGGTTTGAGTGACCAGATTTGTTTTTTTCTAAAGAAGCAGTTCTACTCATGGAGAAGAAAATTCTAAAAATAATCTAGTATTGTAATATATTTCAAGTATTGAAACAATGTTACATTTTAAATACTTTGGAAAGGGAAAAAGGTGTGTGAATTTTTTGGTTTTTGGTTTTGGGGGGGTCTTTTGGTCACTGACAAGTACAAATAAAATCCTATTACAAAAAAGCCTTGCGTAACAAAGTTATCTATTTGGCAGATTATCTCTATAAACAACTTTGTTAAATTTTTGGCTTTTTATTAGAAATATTGATGAGCTGATTATACTAAAACTGTGAATGTATTAGTGATGTTCTATATTTAATCTTCTGGTGATTCCTGGTACAGTCCCTCTAAATATAATGAAACCTGTTATATGAGAATATTGGTATAATAGACATGTTTGTACCTCATCTTTTTCATTTAGTGGAACATTTTGTGTAAATCATCTTTTTATGTAGAAGATGCCATTTAGTGTCCCTTTTATGTACATATTAATATGTTAAATACTCATTTTTTAACAGATTTTTCAAAATGAATGGGCAATATTACATGAGTGAAGTTGGATGTTGGTATTGGAAAAAACATTTCTATAAAATATATTCATGTTTCACCTGCTAAAAAAGATACCATTTCAGGGCATATGGAGCCCTATGTACTGGACATTATCAGTCATATGCTGGCAAGAGTTGTGCTGCTTTCCAAATATACCTTAAGACAGAAACAATGGCATTCTCATTTAAAGTTTAAATCTGATCATTTATAAAGCAGCCTAAATTTCATAGTTTCTAGAGTCCATGAAGCATCAAATGTCAGAAAATATTCTTTTCCCCCCTCTATTAAAGAAAAAGTCGAAAATATTTCCATATCTGAGTAAACAATGTCTAGTTCCATTTTTAAGGTATCACAGCATCTAAATATAACCTAAATGTCTTGTAATTGATTCTTTTGCATACTTCCCCACCATCTTCTGCCCTTCTCTCTCAATTTACTTTATACCACTAACATTAACATTCTGTGAACAAATTTTTTAAGGATTGTTGTAATGTATTCTATTTGTATCCTACAGTAATTTATTTGCATTTTAAAAGGAGTTTGAGTACAGTGTGGCAATTTTGACAACCAGCAAGCTTATCAAAGTAAGATTCTACCTATAATCTCATGATATACCAAATGCTTGCTCTGTTCTATATATGTAATAGAGACACGAATTATGTGTGATTTACCTTAGAGAAGGAAAGAGTAGCTAACATCTAGTAGCACTTAGTCTTTGAGTTTCCTGAACTCTACTTCCAGTGTGTGAATCACTTAAAATCCACTTAAATTCAGATTGCTCACCAAAGTAACTAGGAAAAAGAAGGTACTGGTTATGAAGTAAGTACATGATACTTCACTCTTTGTACTAGTCATGAGGAACCTAGTTTATACACATAAGCTGGGGGCTGGTCATTGCTTTTTATCCAGGATAATAAAGAGTATGTGACTGCAACAACATATTTGAACAAATGATGCAGAGGTATTGTACAGGAATGTTATCAATATTAAATGATGGTAGAACACAGTTTCATTCATATGCCATCTGAATGTCAATGGTTAAATTACTGGGTTTTGCATTATTTTTTACTCCAGAAGTATTTGTTTCACTATGTGTCAGGCTCTTGGCTGAGATAACTAATGAGAACTTTGTAAGATATTTCTGTCCCAGATTTTGACTGTTTAGCTTGGATTTACACATTCTTTAAAACTTGACTTCCAGTAGATCTTTACTTATTAGACTCTTCTAAGGATAAACAGAAAAAGTCTGTGGGTCCTAGATTTTACTTTTGAATAGGCAGGTGACAGATGGTTGAAACCAGTGGCTTGAATGAGATTTAGGCTTCTCATGATTTTGAATTTTCTGTGTGACATTTCTGTTAGCATTGCCACTTGACTACTATAAGGAATTATATTTACTGGTTTTTTAATAGTAGCATCTATTCTTTTGGAATCTGGACTTTGAACAACTCATTTCACAGACTCATTGACTAGCCAGTTCCTATTCTTTCTTACTTAGAAGTTTTCCAGGGGATTTCACATGACAAGATGATAGAAGAGAAGCTATTTGGGTAACTCTTCTGTTACATTTGTGTCCCTACCCCTTTGGATCCCTAGAAATAAACTCTTACCTTCTCTTCCTGCTAATTGACCAGCAGCACCCTGGATTGCTATCATCCCTTTGTCCAGAGGAATGGTGTAGCTGATTTCAAAGACCTATAAAATGTTATGTCCTATCTACTTCTCCCTATAAAAGATATCTTTTTTCCCCTGTATTAAATCAGATTGTTTTAGAGTAAATGATAGAAGGAAAAGTCAAGTGATGGAAAATTTCAAGAACAGTTAGCACTGAAAGTTTGGTCTACTTCAATATAAAAATCTTTTTTTTCCTTTTTAATCACATTTTTAAAATAAGCTATTGGAGAAAATGTAAAATGAAAAAATGTAAAAAAATAGTTAACATTAAACATCAGATCCAGTTATAACCTATGTGAGATAGTATAGATTTATATTTTTTTCTAGTAAAATAAAAATTATGATTGCATGATTGTCCATGCAATACAAGTTGAGTTCAAAACTAAAAGTTGAGCTTGTTTTGCCTTTCAAATGTAGGGCCAGCATGCAACTATATAAGAGCTATTTATTATTACAAAATTCAAAGTGAATCACTATCAAAAGTGATTTTTTCATTGTGCTTTTCATTACTTTGTTAATAATGTTCCAAGTTTTCAAAGCATGCGAGACCTACTTAATGGAGTTAGTAATCAAATGCAAACTAGCAAGATTTAACCTGATGTTAAAATTATCTGTGATCATAAGAGTAAAGATTATCATTATTGTAATACTTGACCAGTTTAGTAGTTTCAAATTATTTAGTTCCATTTTCTCAGTTCTAGTTTGGTATCATAAAGGATTATTTGAAAAAAGTAGTACAGGCAGAGTATATGCAGATAACATTACTGCTATTAGAGAATCAGCTGCAAGTTAGTGCATGCTTCAGGGAAAAGGGAAATGAATGCAAACTTTTTCTAATTTGATTTAGATGGTCTGACCTCTCTAGAAATATGTATATGTATATATTTTGAAATATATAAGAAATGTTAAGTCTTTCTCTTCCCTTTTTTAGCCTTAGATTGTAAGCAAAAGAAATCAAGGTCAAGATCTGGAAGCAAGAAGAAAATGCTGACATTACCTCATGGTGCTGACGAGGTTTACATTCTCCGATGCAGGTATATGCCTATATTGTCACATCTCATCAGTTTCTTCAGATTCTGCTGTAAGATATATTAGCTATTTTATTTGCAATTTTTAATTTGTATCAGAGGGTGCTTTCTCAGCAATGAAATTACAAATAAACTTTTAGAGACAGGTTTAAAATCTTATTTAGCTCATAATATACTATACTTCAACAACTAGTGAATCAAGTTAGCTAAGAACCTCTATGATACTGTGATTTATAAAAGTGGCTATTTAATTGTGTTTTATTTACTTGGTTTGTTTGATTTAATTTGGCTTGGTATGATTTTTTTACTGTCTTGAGTGCCTGCTTATTGGGAACACATTTTCTCTTCCCTCATACACACACCTCATTCCATACTCACACACACAGCACTCATGAATATACATAGACATGACAGGGAAGGGTATTCCCTAAAGAATGGCACATTTTGGAGTAATAGTTGTTGTTTTGAATTAAGATGTATAGGTATTAAGACTATTTAGTTAATTTTAACCTAATAATAATGCTCACATCTCTACAGAGATTACTGGGGTTTATTATAGCTGTTAAGAAACATGAATTGAGAGTGTTGTTATTGTATTACATCATTTTTACTTTATTTAGAAGCTATTATGTGCTATTTTTAAAATATAGTAAAGTTTATTCCCTATATTTATGAATTTTATGTGAATTGGTTTTTTAAAAGGTGAATTGGTCACGTTAAGAGAACTGTTATCAACTCTTTCTGTAGGTTTTGTGGCCTAGTCTTTAGAGGACCATTGTCTGTTCAGGAAGACTGGATTAAGCACTTACAACGACACATTGTAAACGCTAATCTTCCACGGACTGGAGCTGGCATGGTGGAAGTCACATCACTACTTAAAAAGCCTGCCTCTATTACAGAAACTTCATTTTCTCTACTAATGGCAGAAGCAGCGTCATAGAACCAGGAAATCTTTTAAATAGCAAATTTGAATTGGATGTAAATTTGAAATTATTTCTTTTTTTAAAAGCCACATTAAATTATCCATTTATAAATACTAAAGCAGGAAAATGGGGAAAAGTGAATTATAGTAAAATCAGAGCAAATCGAATACTTAAAACAGTGAGTAGTCTACTATATTTTATATAGGGTGGAAAACGTGTTTTTAAGGTTTACTAAATTTTGTTGGTTAACTATGTTCACTCAATAAAAGATCAGTACATGTAAGCAGCCATTTATAAACTGTTGCACATGGATACTTAAGAGACAGACTTATTGGAAAATTATGTTTTCTGCAGTGTTACCACAATCAAGGCTCTGTTTATTCCCCACAAGACTTGCATAGAAAAATAAGATATTATATTTTGTTTGTATGTATTTAGTGTTTTGTATAATACCAGGAACTGCTAACTAAATTTACTCAATTTAGGGCATTAAATATCATGTACTTCATAGTTTGAGACTGTTCACTCAAATAGGGCAGAGTACTATTCTATCTAGACGTGTAAGTGTTTTTTTTAAATCACACGGAACGGTTTTTTTTATACTAAAAAGTGGAGGGAGATTTGTTTAAACAAGTATTTCTAAAAGAAATATGTACATAGTCCTGGAAATTATTTGTGGTAAGGAAATATTCTTTACTCCAATTGCATTTCTCAGACAATAAAGTGGTGCATCCATGCTACCTCCTACTTTGTCAACAAAGATGCTATTTACCCTTTACATTTTTGTATCATAATAGATGAAAAAAATCTAATGTTCTTTATTGCAAGACATTCTTTTGTTAACAGATTTCTTTTTAATGTTTTACCTAAAATTTGACATGCTTACAGGACAGGTTTGCCTCTTACTTTATTTAACATTGTAGAAATGTAATTAATAAACAATGCTCACTACACAATTTAGAATAGGCGTTCTCATTTATATTATCTTCCAAATTTGATCAGTTAGCAAAACTTAATACACCAATTAAAATATTTCTACATATGATGAGAATGTTTACAATTTAAATTTTAGAACTTGTTTTGGATGTGATTATATGTACGAAAATCGTGTAACACTATGCTCATGCTAAGAACCGACATAACGGAATTACTGAAATAAATGTGCTGTGAGGAATGGAAAATATGGTGCAGGTGTCTTGGTCATGATAAATTGTGGTTCTTCTTTTAAACTCTTTCCACAAACAAATTACTACTTTTAATCTGAAATCAGATTCCTTTACAAATAACAGTTTTTGTATGCAAGCACCATTTCATTTTATTTCATGTAGTATGGCTAATACTATAGTTGAACCAAGAATATGCATTGATTCTTTGCTTTGTCTGTAAATAAAGTTAAAAACAGTTAAAATAAGGAGTATTTTAGTAGAGTATATACATACCTCACTGCCAGTGAAATTGCTTTCCTATGGTATATCTCCTTACCAGAAAAATCTCTAAATAAAAAAAGACTTAAAGAAAATTATAATGTGTATAATGGTGAAACATTTCTTTTAACATTGGTGGAAATAGTCCACTTAAGGTTGTGTTTCATTTGATTTTAAATTGTTTATATTTACCAGGTTACTTTGTTCACAGGATGTAGTTTTTCTAGAAACACCTCATTATAAGAAAGGTCGATTTTTCCCACTTTCATGGTAAATCAAACCTCTAAATTCAGAAACATCTTATATGCAGAATTAGAAGGTTGGACTAGATGAATGATTCTCAACCGAGGTCTCCTGATCCCTGAGGTAGTCAGTAAGGGGAAAGTTCTTACAAGTTTTTTTTCAGTTTTACAAAAGGCCTCATAGAAACTGTGCATTTATGTATAATGAGACCAACTAAAACATCAAATTTCTTTACTTTTGACTGAAAATATACTAAGTCTGTGTATACTGGTTATCTCTTATTGAGCAAGTTTCATTGATAGTTATATGTCTTTGAATATTTTTTTTAATTGGCAGGCATACTACATAGCAAGTAGAGTTTAGTAGTTAAAAAAAAAAGAAAGAAAAAACATCATAATAGGATTCCTGGTGGGAAGACTAGCAATCACTAGAGCCCCTTTCAGCTCTAATTCTTATAGTTCTTTGATTTTGTCTTATTAGGCCAATTACCAACATATATGAATACTTTAAAGAGTATTCATACATACTATAAAGACCATAAGTTTCAGGATCAAACCTACATTAAATTTTTTATATGTTGAACTCTATTTGAAATAATTATTTCTGCTTGTAGATGTACTAAAAATTCAGTTATCAAAACAGAATATTTCAAATTAGAAACAGTACTAGAGGGACTCTTGAAAAGTAAATGTTGTTAAACAAAGAATATTTTTCATAATAAAAGTATTTGGGTTACAAAATTTAAAGAATTCTTAGGAAGCAAAGTTCATCTTTTATTTGGCAACTAGAAATTTAATAATATATTTTCAATTGGCTCACACTAAAAAATTATAAAATACTATTTCAAATTATGTGATAGGTTTTCATGACAGAATTTGGCCTGATTTATTACTAAGTATTGACTAATTTTCATTTAATTCTTTTATCATTGCCTGAAATATGTGAGCACCTTTAGCATTAGGGCTTTAAAAAAAAAAGTCCAGTCAGAAGTGTCGATTTATTTAATAGAACCAAGACAAAAACATTTTCTCCATGAGTAGTATTTTCCACTAGACTTCTTTTTGGAGTACCTCAGAACTGTGGCATAACTAATACCTCTATTTTAGATTTCGTTTACTTAATTATGGGTAGAGGAGATAATGGTTTTTCAGTAGTAATTTACTAGACAAACTTTTCTTAAGGACATACACATAACTTTTCAAGGATTGCACACTTAGAACATACTAGTCCAAAGGATAGCTCTGGTTTTTCCTCACTAAAAAAATGTAATATATTCCCATTTAAAAATATTAGAAAAACATAGAAAATATTAGAAAAATATAGGAAACAGTGGTGATACCGCACCTCTTGTATTTTCCTGGATAGAGCTGGAAACTATTCTACTAAGTGAAGTGTCCCAAGAATGGAAAAATAAATACCACATGTACTCACCAGCAAATTGGTTTCACTGATCAACACCTAAGTGGACATATAGGAATAACATTTATTGGGCATCGGGCAGATGGGAGGGGGGAGAGAAGGGGGTGGATACATACATACATAATGAGTGCGATGCACACCATCAAAGGGATGGACACACTTAAAGCTCTGACTCTGAGGGGGAAGAGGCGGGAAAGGCAACACACGTAACCTAAACATTTATACCTCCATAATATGCTGAAATAAAAATATATATATATTAGAAAAACAAAAAGTAAAAAATGGGGGAAATCACAAATTACCTACTTTTTTTTCCTGAAATAATTCACACAAAAGACACCTACTTTTTATAGCTTAAAACATTTCTTTCTTTTATTGTTTCAATATAGTTATGACCAAAATATATTATAATGTGTCTTGTTCTCCCAAGTTAATTTTAAATTTGAGTGCTTCATTGTATAGACTAACCTTGGAGTGTTACATAAGATAATAACACATGAATGTGACAAAGGCTAATCAGCATTATTGATTTTTCACATCAGGGCCTAGAATCATCTTACACCCCTGCCACAGAAGATAGCTGTCATATTTATTTCAACAGTGGGAACTTGTTTTCTTATTTTGAGGGCTGGCTAATTTCAGTTATAGTTCTTCCATCAATACCCCATACCTTTCATATAACCTTTATTATCACAACCTCTTGATTATCACAAAATATTGAATAATACCTTTAATTGTTTAGGCAAACAACAATAATAAAATTTATAGAATTGATACCTCATACTGCATACATAGTTCTTAGATTAGGTCAAAATCCAATGAACAAAGAGTATATATAATCTAATAAATTACTGGGTTTTTTTCTTGTTATTAGAATTTTAGGCAAAAAGAAAAGAAAAAATACATGGAGGTTGGCTAGGTGACTCACCTCACACATATCCCAGCACTTCGGTAGGCAGAGGCAGGAGGATCACTTGAGACCAGGAGTTCTAGACCAGTCTGGCAACATAGCAAGACCCCATCGCTACAAAAAAAAATTTTTTAATGAGTTGGGTGTAGTTGTGTGTGCCTGTACTTCCAGCTTACTCAGGAGGCTGACATAGGAGGATCACTTGAGCCCAAGAGTTTGAGGTTGCAGCAAGCTATGATTGCACCACTGCACTTCAGCCTAGGCAACAGAGCAAGATCCTGTCTAAAAAAAAAAGAAGAGAAAAATACATGGAATTCTCCCACATTGAAAATTTGTCATATATCTGTTTTTCTGTTTATGGACTTTTTTGCTCTGTAAAAGCAAAAACCAAAAAACATGAGAACATGCTTTGTAGAAATTGGCCCTTTCTTATTGGTTGATCCATGAGCATTTTCATACCATTAAATATTCTTAAATGTATTTTAAATTTTTGTGTAGCATTCTATTATACCATACATTATTTAGTCCTCCATTATTGATCATTTTGTGTTGTCTCCAGGATTTTGGCATCATAAAGAATGCTTTTGATGAACATTCTTGTAGTAAATTGTACACATCCAGATTTTTTCCTTAGGATAAATTTCTAGTAATAGAATTGGTAGATCAGAGAGGTAAGGCTTTATATATGAATTGCCAGATTGTTATTCAGAAAGGACATATAACTGTGTACTCTTACATGCAATGTACGAGAATGGCTTACAGTTCCTCTTACCATTTCAGTATATTCTTTCAAATAACAAAACTTTCCTTATTTAATTAGGTAAAAAGTGGTCTCTTGTTTGTTTTTAACTGACAAATGAAAACAATATGTGAACTTTTGAAATTAAAGGCATTGGTTTTCTGATTTAAAATAATATAATTATAATATAAGACATATAATTATGTTTTGCAGGATGATGTGTCTGAAATAACTTCATCTCTGATTTCATAATTGGCCACTAGGACAATAGAGAGTATAAGCGTACTTAACCTGTAGTCTTTTTAAGAGATCTTTGACCATCATATTAATTCCAAAATTTTGTGTGTGTATCTGTGTCCATTTTTCTGGGAGTTCCATAGCATTTGTCGTATACTCAATTGGTCTGTGACCCCAACCTCCCCCCCCAAAAAAACTAAAGAATAATTAATTTGAAGTAATATATGTCACCATATCAACTGTCGAGTGCCTTATGTTTTTGAGTATAATTTGAGTAACAAATTTTAATTAAAATTAATCCTCAAAATCTTCTGACATAGGTTTTTTTTGTTTTTACTTGGTGGGGTAACAAGATAGTATTAAATGTGAATTGTTTCATATCTTCTGAACAAGTTGGTAGAAAAAGATTATAAGGTCAGACTCTGGAATTTTATTTTTTTTCTTTATGAATTTAGCAAATTTCAGCAAATATTTTCAGGTAATGAGCTTTTGGATAATGTTTAGTTGTGTTTATAACAATTCAATTAAACTTTTAAAAACATTTTAAACTGCATTTTTAAATTCAGTATACCCAGATTCTGTTTTCAGAACCTAAATTCCATGATTTAAAACCTTTTCAAGTACATAAATATCTTATAAATGTAATAAATTAAATTCTTGATAAATATGTAGAACCTTGAAATCTCTTGGATATTTCAGTGTCTCATATAACTTAGTAGGATTTCTACTTTAAAATCAGAAGTTGGATTTAGAAGGCTGAACTGTTAGTCTAATCAGCCTGATACTCCTAAATAATATAAATACTCAGAATTTTAAAAGTATGCACAAATTGCCTCTTACCAAATTTGCTTTTTTGTGAGTTAAAGTACATGCTACTATTTAAGGAAATATTTTAATTACTATAAGAACAACATTGCCAGCACCCTCAGTTAAATTCTCCTCCTCCCATTACCATTATTCTGGCTTTTTAAATAATCATTTATTTGCTATTCTTAACAATTTGACTTCCTGTGAATGCATATAGTCTACTTTTACCTGTTATTGTATTTTATAGAACTGAAATTATACCATGTATTCTTTTGTGACTTGCTGCTTTTGCTTAATATTATCTTTGAAGTTCATCTCTGTTTTTGTCTGTAGTTTATTCATTTTCATTGTTGGATATTATTATATAGATATGCCATCATTTAATTTTTTATTTTTATTGTTAATAGACATTTGAGTTGTTTTCAGTTTATGACTTTTGAGAGTATGGAGCTGTGAACATCTGCAAGTTTCTCTAGGGTACATGCCAAGGAGTGGAATTTTTTGGTCATAGAGTATATGCTTCTTAGGTAAAGCCAAACTGCCAAAATGATTGTACATGTTCGTACTCCCAAAAGGAGTGCATTAACGTTCTTATTCCTCTGTATCCTCACTGATATTGTCAGGCTTTTAAATTTTTGCTATTTAGTGGGTATAAAAGGCATTTCATTGTGAATTTAGTTTACATGTCCCTGATTACTATGAGATTGATTATCCTTTCACATGTTTACTGGCCACTTGGGTTT